GAATTTGATGACATAAAAAATGCCTCTCTCAGTCTTTCTGTACCGTGGGTACTCCCAATTTCCTGACATCCACGCCGATATCCCTCTCTATTTGTTCGGCTTTGTTAGTTTATGCTTCTTTTCTCTGGAAATGCAGCCTTCTAAGTGGGGTTGCTGTAGCCCTGCATTCCAAGGTCTGCAGGAGGCAGAGGCACTTGCTAGTGCGGGCGCGGAAGCGGGAGCCGCATGCAGGCAGGCAAAAGCTCAAAATGCCTGTAATTCCTCAGCAATTTGATCTTTTAAAAATACGAGTTCAGAATGTTGAAATATAAGATCTTATGTTTGTTCAAAGGCTGTCTGTCTGCTAGACAGAGGTTTCTTATGTGTGATTCCGCCCCTTTTCCCCGAGACTGCCCTACATTAGCTGCCTGGTCAGGGAAGCACCGGAAGTCCTCTCCTCCCTTTGTGTTTTGATTGTTGAAGTTGTATTGTGCTCAGAACAAGACCGAGGTTAATGTAACCCAATATTTTGTGGATCGAAATATGTATCTAACCACTAATATTTGTAAATTCCTATTACTTTAATGCACTGCTAATAGTCTTCATCTCAGAGAAAACTAATATTTATAATAAAAGAAGCTTGGATTCTTATGACCTATTTGTTTTATTAACCAGTGAGTCACTGCCAATTCTCTGATGATATGTTGGGCGAGATTCCAAAGCTATTGTTACCACTTGCTGCTTTCCATTTCATTAAAAAAAAATATGTTCACGATATTTATATATGCAGCCACATCACATAACAATGGTAACAATAATCATCCGATCTGTAGCTATACCACAGAATTGGTGACAAATGGTTTTTAAAATTGTTTACATAAAATGACTGATTTTCTCTATAGTTTATCATTATAGTGATATGCTACCAGTTGTGACTTATTCATATTTCACAATATGCTCAAAGACTTATCAAAACAGTAACTTCCTAGGGAAATTAGACTCATTCTTTACAAAACTACTCGTAGAACAGAAATGTATTCTGTGACATGAATTAATTTGTGGAGGTCATACAAGTCCCTGAAATCATCAAACTATATAAATGGTAATACCGAATACGTGCAATATTTAGAAACACATTTACCTGGTTCTCTAGTTCAGTTCTCCTTATTCTTCATAGCGTAGTGGTTATGAGTTAGGCTGTTAATCTCACTGTCAGCAGTTCAGAACTACTAACGACTCCTTGGGAGACAGATGAGGCTTTCTGCTCCTGTGAAGATTTACAGCCTCAGAAACCCTATACAGGGTTGCTGTGAGTTGGAACTGACTTCACAGCATGTAACTACCACCAACCTGCTGCCATTAGTCCAAAACTTGGCAAAGTAAAGCTAGTGAAATTGTCCCATGCCATGAAGAATTCATTGGACACAGGTGTTTTTTCTCTTTAGTCCTATCCAGTCTTTCTGGATGTCTCTTGTACTTGTCTTCTCCATTTCTGTTCCTGTTATCCGACTCTAGGGTTATATGGCTCATTTCTGGATTATATTAGCTGTCTAATTGCTTTTCATTTCCATCTCTCTGCCTCAAATACAACTGGCAGCAACATAACAGATTTAGCACTTAAGTAATCTGTTTAAGAACCTTTATTGACTCCATGTGTACTGAACAAAGTCCAAACATTATTAGCTTGGCATTCAAGGCCTTCCAAAATCTGCTCCAAACTTTGTCTAGATTTCTCATCTACCACTCCCATGAGCAAACTGGTCTCTCCTCACCATTCCCTGAACTTTTGCCTTTTGTACCTTTGCTCATGATGTTCTTACACAAATGCCTGTTCTTCAACAACCTGAATCAAGGCTTCCCCACCCCTCGCCCCATGAAACCCTCCCAGAACATTACAATTTACCATGACCTCTCCTTCTTTCCTTGAATTTGACAAGCATTATAAGCAATGTCATTCCTTTAGTAATACAAAGTTTTGTGTCTTATGTAAAATGTTATTTAATTTTGTGTATGTGTTGTCTCTTCAACTAGATTCCAAACTCCTTGAGGGCATAAGCCATTTATCATACTTTCTAAAAATTATCCACAATATTATGTTAGGGGATGTGATCGTTGTTGTTAAGTGCCATGGAGTCGATGCCAACTCAACGTGACCCTGTGTAGGATTTCCAAAGAGTGGCTGGTGAGTTCTTGTGGCTAATCCTACCATGCCACACCAGGACTCTGGGGGAAGTGATGTTGTTAAGTACCATGGAGTCGGTTCTTACTCATAGTGACCCTGCACAGGGTTTCCAAGACTGCAAATCTTTACAGGAGCAGAAAGTCTCATCTTTCTCTCGCGGAATGGCTGGTAGTTTCAAATTGTGGATCTTGAGGTTAGCAGCCCGATTCATAACCACTACCCTACCAGAGCTCCTTGTTGTTCCTTATTGGTGAAAGAGCACTGGAGTTTCCCAAGATGCCTCACACTCTTGGAAGCAGCACTCATTCTAGGAAATGTTTCCTTTCTAATATATGTCAAATATAATCATTTAAAAGGTGAAACTAACAATAGATTACTGCTAGACATCAGAGAATTACAAGCTGCTTCTGAAAGACTTCTGAATCCCCTGGTAAGATACAAAGCTGATTTCTATCCCCTAGAAAGCTAAACAATTGTATGCAAAGAAAAATGATCAAGCCAGGAGAATAATGTTTAAGAATTACTTGATCATAAAGCATTAAAAAAGTCAGACCCGTGGAATCTGTTTATATTTCAGTGTGTTTTTCATCAGCAAAAAGAGACTTAACAACATAAGGAGAATAAGTCCAGAACTTAAAATTTACATGAGGGCATGTAAAGTTACATGGATAATTCAAGCTAAAAGCAGTTCCCCATATCTTGATTTCCCCTGAAGTATTCTGGGAATTTGAGGTTTCTTCAGAGATGGAAAAGCAATCTTTAACTTGTTATTCGTAAGTGCTGTCAAGTTGGTTCCGACTCATAGCAACTCTGTATAGGGTTTCTTAGGAGTGACTGGTGGGTTTGAACTGTTGCCCTTGCGGTTAACAGTTCAGTGCTTATCCTCCAGCACCACATCAGGACGCCAATGTCTAGCTATTGTTTTTACGTGCGTCGTTGAGTCATTTCTAACTCATAGCAGCTAGTGGGTTGGAAATGCTGATCTTGTGATTCATAATCCAGTGCTGATCCTACAGCGCCACACCAGGAGTTCAATCTCTAACTGCTGGTGCTGCTGTGTGCCATGGAGTTGGTTCCGACTCCTAGCGACCCTGTACAGGGTTTCTGAGGCTGTAAGTCTTTACAGGAGCAGAACGCCCCATCTTTCTCTCGCGGAACAGCTGGTAGTTTCGAACTGCTGACCTTTCGGTTTGCAACCGGATTCATAACCACTACGCTACCAGAGCTCCTTAATCTCTATCTAGCAATTGTTAAATCTGTTTAGGGTAGTTTTGTACATGGTCCCACAGCATGCAGCAACCATCAACAGCAACCATCAAATCCTATCCAAAGGTTTGTTAACCTTGTCACTGAGGAAAAGAAGGCTCTGCTGCTAAGGCTTTGTGGTTGCATAGAATGAACTGGCAGTAAATTCTTCAAAATGTTTTGTTTAGTTTTCTGAATTGAGTCATGAGATCAAGGTTTGGTAACAACTACTGCCTGCTAGGGAAATTCAAGGCATGTACGAACGCTTCATCGCTCTATGTGTAAGACAGGCGAAATTAATTAGCTCATATCATCAGATCAAAAAGTCAAGGAACAGTAGGCTGGGTATTTCTATGTGTTTCTTCTCGCTTTGAAATGGTCTGCATTGAATAATGCTTTGAGTTCCTTCAGCCCAGCCTTGACTACTAATAGTCAAAGATCCCATGATCACTGCACTTGGAAATACTCAATGTTTGATGGGAGATGTTATATTTGTTCTCAAAAGATTAAATGTGATGATGAATTAAGCTTCTTGTGAACAAAAATGCTAAGTTCAAAGTACTATTTCATTCACTTCTAATTACAAAGAAGTTTTACCTTTTATTGTGTTCCATTATACAACTTTACATAGTACCTTTATTATGTTAAGCAATAATTAAGCAAACTGATCTCATGGTTTTGCGCTCTACTTCTCAGTATACAGATTTACTTTAAAAAGTACAAACCAAGCACAGTGGTGCAATTTTCCAGGCACTTTCAAGTTGCTTAAATATTTACAAAATATGTAAGCACCCTGTTTGAAAGCATCAACATTTTGGTGTGCAGAGAGAACACTCCATGTACATTGAATCTTTAAATGTGAACATTTGCACAGCTCCGAATATTCCTGAGAAAGGTCAGTTTTGTTGTCATTTTACACCTGCATGTTCTCAGACTTCAGCAGCGTATCTTGGGGAACCATAACCTCTGTCACTTGATGTACCACTAATTGCACAAAATACATGCAATGTGTTGCTCATCCAGGGAGAATGCATTGTGTCTTCTTGTAATATCTAAAACAAAAGAAATTGGCATGTTTATCATGAAGCAAAAGGCCGCAGCCAAAAAAGAATTTGTATATGAAATTATAGGCATGTTTCAATTTATCACTGACACTTAAGCTACTTAAAATGACATAAAGCAGAAAGAGCAAAGAATAACATTACCGACTTAAGTCTTCATAGCTGTATTACAAAGGCAGCATTAAAAAAAAAAAAGCAGAAAAGATCTGGTTACTGATAAAGAAAATCAAAGGATTCCAAATTGCAAAATTCAGTAAAAAGTGAGGTAATGCAGTCTTCAAAATATTTAGAAATTTAACAGACTGTCTTAATAAGAACTCCAAACAGTAGATTCTGATGTGAGTTTCTGGATCCTCTTCAGTTCCTGGAGGGATTGAACTGCGTCCTCCAAAAACATGTGCAGTAAATCCTAACCTCTCTCTGTGTCTGTATTTGTAATGCCATTTGGGAATACATTTCCTTTATGATGTTAATGAGGCAGAAGTAGCAGACCATGTGTTTTGAGGCCATCTCTTTGGAGATATGAAAGAGATTAAACAAACAAGGAAGAAGCAGAGACAAGACGGGGAAGAGAGATGCCAAGTCCCATGAAGATCTTCCAGGAAAGAAAGACCATGACAGAAAGCCCTCCCTTATAGCTGACACCTGAGTTCAAACTTCTAGCCTCTTAACTATGAGAAACTAGCAGTCTGAAATCAGGTGTCAGCTATAGGGGAAGGTTGTTTGTTCAGCCACCTACTTTTGCTATTTCTCTTATAGCAGCTCTAGATAACACACACACACACACAGTAAGTAGTGTTTCTTAGAATTACCTGTGGGGCATTTCAAATATTCGGATACCCATACCTCTTTTCCTGGAGACTTAGAAATAATATTAAATGAAGGTAAGAGTCAACTGCATGCTTTTAAGATGTACTGTAATTATACAAAGTAATTTATACAAAAGGTTTTTCTTGAAAATGAAGAACTTCATAAACAAATTGTATATTTTTATAGATACATAAATGTATTCACATTGTTGTTGTTATTAAGTGCTGTTGAGTCGGTTCCAACTCATAGCAACCCTGTAGAGGGTTTCCAAGGAGCAGCTGGTGGGTTTGAACTGCCAGCCTTCTGGTTCACAATCCAGTGCTGATCCTATAGTGCCACACCAGAGTCCATAAATGTATATTATGGTAAAAATATTTTTAAAAATGTGAGGGCACTAATTCAGGGAATATACAGACTACAAAACATTTTGAAAACCACACAAACA